TACTAAAAAAATAAAATGATAATCCTGTTGTAATTGGACTTACTATCGGTTGACATGAGCTGATCAATGTCCAATAATTCACCAGTCAAATCTGAAACAATCATACAAAATTCTTAACAAGCAAGTTGATAAACAAAATACACTTAATGTCACTGGAGAAACAAAAAGCACATTATTTTGTACCAGTCAAAGTTGTTTTTCTTTCTTAGCTAGTATGTTATAATATTCCATTGATTTCTTTAAGAGCAAGTGAAATCACAATATTTTACATTAAAAATGCATATTAGGGTTATAAAAACCTTAAAACAGTCATTGTCATTTCCATTCAAGACAACTTGAAAAACAAACAAAATAAACTAGGCAATAATGCAAATAATTTTCAAATTCTTTTAATTTCATGCCCCATGACCTACCGCATGAAGTTATGGTATTTTAGTTTTTGTAAGAGTTTTTCGGCACTTGTAACACAATAAGGTCATATAAGTGCCGAAGAATAGATGTGTTACCAGAGAGTAACATAGTCAACCAGAATGTCCAAATCAAACAAATCTGTCCTTACTTCTAATACCATAAAAAAAATTTTGAGGCACTTTGTCTCCATCTCCTACATGAGCGAATGAATAAAAACAACGTACCAATATCCCCCTTGGAAGGGTCAAAGAGGAGGTCCGAGCTGAACATGTCAAGACTTGGGCCCGGGTCACTTGTGCTTGGTTCTGATGAGCTTGTGCTAGCTGGAAGTAGAGGAAACCATTTAGAATTTGAATTTTAAGCAAAAAAATTCTTGAGAAGATGCAACCGATACCACAGATTAATAAAGTGCAATTTTTGTAAATAATAAAATTCAAAACTTCTGGCTTATAGTACATCTGAAGAACTGTTGACAATATGAAACTGCGAGCATTTACTTTTTCCCCCCTCAGAGATGCTCAGAAAAAAACAACAAATATTGCTCTCTCTGAGGCCTGTGATGTGAGAGGTAATCCACAAGCCCTTTCAACGATCCTCTTAAATCATGTGTTATGCCACAGAAGGTGAAAATCTTTATTTTTTTTGCAGTGGATCCGAAAATAGAATAAAATATATCGTCACAATTTTCTTTGCCTCAGAGTCTGCATTAAGTATTATATCTCGGTATGCCTAGTGCTCCAATGGACTCTCAACAAGTCATTTTAAAATCTGAACATTTGCTCCTTAGGCAGGACATAAGGAGCCAGAAAACATACCATAAGGAAATAAAAAAGAAGAGTAGGTCACCCTTCAAGATGTTCTACGCCTCCCAAAGTTAAGAAAATACATCACCTACCATACCACAGAAGCCTTGTTGAGCAAAAGCTAGAAAACCAAGACGAAACATTCTCTTGTCTTACAGACAGAGACAACAAGGGCGCTCTAGGCACACAATCTAAAGAACCTTATGTAACCAAATCTATCAGATCCAAACAATTGTGGTAAATTTTTCAAAATGCTGAGAACTGTGAAAGTGTTAGCAGGGATGCCACTCAACTTTTTTTTAAATAGCTGAAAATCCATGCGCCACGGTCTCGAGGAAGGAAGACGTGTAGCACAAAAATAAAAATGTATTCACTTACGTTGGCTGAGCAATGTGTCTGTTGTGTTCTTCCTCGGGGAAGATCGTGTTGCCATTCGTGTTGGAGGTTCAATGATGGAAGATGCCTGGGACTGTTTGAGGGGGGACTTCACAGGGGAACGCTGAAGCTGAGCCAGACAGGAAAAACATCACACACAGGTTTACGTTATGATTTACAGGACAACAAAAGCTAAAGAGTGTAAGTCTCAAAATGACACTAAGGAAAAAATAAAAGACCGCTCAACACATGCAAATCAGTTAACACTCCCCCCCTCCAACACACATACACACCTTCTATAGAATTTAGTCAGACGTATACTTTCATTTAAAGTATAAACGTGTAGAACGGGAAACACTGCCAAATTGTGAGTACAAACAAATCTTTAGTCAAGTTAATTTACCTTTTTTAAAGTTACTTACACTTACAATGGAAGGTACATGCTACGAAAGAAAAATAGCAGTACAGTGACCAACAACATTTTTTTAACCAGCCCTTTTCTCAGAAGATTTGTTTTTTGCCTGCATGCAAGACTAATCATTTGATTGATATCTAATTTGCAAAGCTTGAATCGTTCCACACGCACTCAGGTTGTCGCTTATGCCTGATATATAGACCGGTGAGGGGGGGGGGGGGGTATTCTGTGAAAGTTATGGCATGCACTTCAGGCTACAAGCAAAATAAAGTAAAATCTGTTTAGTTTTAGTAGAGGTTTTACGGCACTCGCAACTGCATAAGGTCATATGAGCGCCAGAAGATTAGAGATGTTACAAGAGAGTAACAAACATAAAAAAAGAAGAAGGGGAGATAAGGACGATAGATGTTTGATAGGAAAGAAGAAGCACACCACACCAGAGCACCCGCATCTGTGTCTGAACTTTTCCACAACCCCCAACAAAAGACAGTAATTATTCCTTTACAATGAAACCTAACTACAGTCGGTATATGCACCTTTCCCCTGGTCATTGCTCCAGCTCGGTCTGTCTGCCGGCTGGGATCGGAGTTCTGGTTTTGAGCCATTTGCTCCACGATGGAAGCTGAGGCGCCCTCCGCCGTGGCACCCATCGGTTCTGTCTTGGGGGGCGGCACTTGCACCGCCACTGGCTCCGACTCATCGGTTTCTTTGTTCACAAGCAGCACGTTGATGGGACCACCTTGACTCTTGAGATGAATCTGATAGTGTCTTTTGTACGTGGGGCCCTGCCAGACGGACATAATTACAGAAATATATCACACAAACAAGTTCAGTAAAAGTTTTGATAGGTTGAGTTAAGAGAAGCAGGTCAATACAATATCGATCATTTAGTACAGGAAAGCAAGACATACAGACAGAGAGGAACAACAGACGAACATAAAAGTACGACCTACAGTGGCACCCTCCAACCACCTGCAAGTTCAGGGCAGACTAGCCAAAAAACAAGCTGAGGATGGGTTTGTGGTGTAATTTACATCACCGTCTCACCGTTTGCCTGTTTGTCCAGTCTTTCTTGAATTAAACTGTAATTGTAACCTTAACAATTGGCCAACACAAAACCGTCTCATGTGCCCTCTTATTACCAACTTGTATTGCAAGTGCTGTAAAACTCTTACTGAAACTAAAACTTCTGACATCAGAGAGGACAGGAAAAAACCATGATGACCAGTGTCTCTAACATATCAGGGATTTAAAGGGGGGGACAGGAAAAAAAAGGGAGGAAAACGAAGAGAGAAAAAAAACCCAACAACATTTAACTCTTTATCTCAGCCAAGCCACTCCCAGCCGCCCGCAGTCGAAACTACTGTGCTTGGGAGCCGCTGGCAGCGACTCAGGTACATTCCTTTGCGACCACTTTGACATCAAATTGCTTTTCGGTAATTGCTGAACACCTTGTCTCTTTTCCTTTCATTTCATTCCTAAGATGAAGAACTATCAAAATAGATACACATATTAATTTAGTGACGTTTTTGTCCTTTTTAAATTTCATACCAAAAAAAAAAAGAGCCCCGGTGTAGTGGGTCAACCCCCCCTAAATAAAGAGTTAAACCTGCTTGTCTACCATTTATCACAATAGTATAATCCAAGACACAATAAGACAAGACGGGACAACTCTTCTTTACGTCATGTGACAAGTGCAGGCCCCTCCCACTTTTGCTGCTGCGCGTATAACTCGCTGGATTGGCGATAGTTTACATTGGTTACAATGCAAGGCTACTGCGATCATCTCGGGCGGTATGTCTAGCCAAGGCCTACTAAAATTAATATATTTTAGCCCAGAGAGAGAGAGTATTTAATGAATAAACATAGCCTATCTAGATCTAGAATCTAGATCTAGAGAGTCTAGATTTTGTTGTGCACCCAGCCAAGAGTGTGCTGTTCGGAAAGTAGATCTAGATCTAGGCCCCTAATGATTGGCGAATGACCGAAGGGCGACTCTTGACTAGCGGTATGTCTGTGAATTGGCGGAGACACTCTAGATCTATATCATGCTACTTATTCATACTATCATATCAGCAGTAGATAGATCTACTCAGTTAAGCTTCTGTGCTTGTTTCAATGGCTTCTTTTTCGGTGCACCTGTACAATTGTGGTCCCGTTTAATGTTTACATGACGGCCATTATTGTCATGTGGGACTTACGCCTTGAGTGATTTAGTGCAAACGGGACCGCTATTGTACAAGAGTGCCATTGTTTCCTAGCTTCAGTTCATGATCATTGATTCTGACATTGGGGAACAGCTCGCTGTGTAGTTAATCTAGATCTAGATATAGATCTAGTCAACAGTTAGGCTGCTGGACTCTAGCAGTGGCCGTATCTTTAGTTTAAAAAATATCCAGTCTATTGTATATTGTTAGACAACAGTTCATTGCAGAGCACCACTGGCTGTTCTGTCGTTTTTAAACTGTGAGGTCTAATCTACTTCTACGTTTCGTAAACTCCTAGATCTACATCATCATGTCACTGAACATGTTCAACCCATTACCGCTTTCTGTTCATAAAAACCTTAAGGGGGGGGGGCTACACCCCCAAAGTCAAAATTCGGCTCAAAATCATGGAATTTGAGTTGTAGGCATTTTTAGGTTCCTCAGCCTCTCCTACAACTATTTCATCGCATAAGAACCCCCAAAAACCGTATTTTGTCCCATACCGGGCATGTTTGTAACTGCCATTTCCTCATAAAGTCAGTATTTTATTTTTCTTTATCGGCCGTTTTTTCAAAACGCGACTTTCCTCTATCCTTTTTTTAATAACTCCACCATTTTTCATCCAACCTTCATGAAATTTTCACAGAATCAAGAGAAGAGGTAATGCTAAAAATTCGTCTGTTGAATTTTAGATATATGGAATAGATTTTTGTTGGTGGTGTCTGGAGTGTGGATTTTCACGGATTTTTCGCAAACTTGAATGCTACCTCAGGAAAAAATTCATTAAAAATTTTCTAATTCGTTTAGGAAAAAAAACAACAGACAAATTTTTAGATCTAATGTTTGAAAACACGCATGCAAAAGAACAATCAATTTCCACGAGCGATAAGTGCGGTGTTCATTACGTAAGACATGTCAATAAAATCCAATATGGCGGCGTATCCATGGAAACGAAATTTTTTTCTCAAATTTGACTGCGGATTTTAAGACTCCTTACTATGCTTGTTATATGTGTGAAATTTGGTAAAATTCGGTCCAGTAATAAGCGAGATAGCCTCCAGGTGTAGCCCCCCCCCCCCCCCTTAAATTTCTCAACACACTATATTTAAAATGTGAACAAAAACCAGTCAAAATAAATACCAAACAGTTTATATGGAAAAAAACCGAGGCAAAACTGCCATTATGAAATTCAAAGTAGGCAGCTATTTCAGCGAGTTGAACAGTGTGCTCTTTTCTTCCTGTCGTTTGTTTACGCTTTAGACGCGCCGCTAGCTGGTTACCAAGGGGAGCCAGTTGGAACGAAAACGAGGCTGTTGTCCCGTCTTGTCTTATTTCGTCTTGGGTATAATTCCACAAGTATTTTTCTTCATCGTTTCCTTTCCACTTTGTTCTTCACAGTTCCATTTGGCTCTAAAGCACAGCAGTCTCAAATTAAACAAACAAGCCAACAGCATAACTTACCACCAGTTCTGGAATGGGAACTTCAAGCTGCGTCCCAGATGGGGCTTGAACCGCTAACAATGTGTCGCCCTTGAAACAATGGCAAATGTCTTCATGTGTGACAAAAGCCAACCTAAGTAAAAGACAAAAAAAGTAATTCTCAATACATTACCACTTTTGGTTTTGTGTAAATAAAAACGTACCCGCAACAACAACACAAATATCAATCACAAAGACATTAATTTTTCACTATTGTCTGACTATCCACTGTGAACATTGTAAAACAATTTATAGCGGTCCTCAAACGCTGGGAAAAACATTTTCCCTTTACTTCATAGCCTTGCCACATTTATCCTTAATATCAGTATTACTTTAGCAATTGCAAAAGCTTTTATCATCTTTAAAAAAAATTGATTTTTTTTTAAACAGCACAAAAAATAAATCATAATTTCTAATAATTTACTTTGTAAATTTCACAAGACTTTATCGTATTCATTAAAAATTTCCTTCAAATGCTACATCCAAATTATACATTTCACAGAAGTTCACAGCATGTGTAAAACATACAATATATAAACCTTCCTTTTCAGGGACAAGGAAAAAAACATTTTAAAACAAATATTTTTCATTTTGCAAATTCAGTAAATGAAACCATCAATCTAAACATGCTTGAAGAAACACCTTTAAAGAGCTCAAGGAATCCCCATGCATCAGTAACATACAGAAATGTTTTTATATCATTATTGAACAGTGTGCTAGGGAAAAAGCTACCATGCCTTTAAATGTTCCCTCTGTAGCCATCTCTAAGATTTTCATATTTAGGCATAGATGCACCAAATAAGATTTTTACAACACCTGCATTTTCCAACCTATTTTCACCCACATTGTCTCTAAAAAGAAAAAGGATTCATGCTAAAGTTACCTTGTATTCGTGACTTCGTCTGTGACATTCTTTATGCTCTGCTGCACCCACTGTTTGTGCTTATCCAACTCCTGCTCCTGATGTCGAAGTTCAGCGAGGTCATCCTTCAACGACGTCAGTCGTTCTGATATATCTCGTGAGTTGCTGCCTGGACCAGAGCCTCTGATGATTTAGATTTAATTTTTTTAACAAATCTTTCCTCTTTTGTCAAAAAATCACAATGCAATACAAAAAGGCCTAATTCAGTGAAAGTAAAAAACACACCACAAAATGAGTATTCTAGAGGAGTTGGACCATAAGCCACTTTGGGATCAAACCAAATAAATTTTCTTATCATGCACTTCCGACTACATTTGATCTGTTTTCTAACTGTTTTGTAAAAACAAATACAGCTTGATGAAAGTGGGTTTTTTTTTAACTTGAAGGGGCATTATCATGGGTCAGAAAAAATGTTCCAAACCTACCCCAGTCAAAACCACAATCAAACCTGTCTAATATGTGGTCCCCTCCCCGCAGCAGTCACTTGTATTAACCATATCTCTGATCCACGACGTCCCTGTGTTTTTCCTATATTGTCGACCAGTTCATAGCCATCCCTCAAAATTAGTTCCTAGCCGACACGTGCTACAAACCTTTTCCTTTCCCGCCAACCCATCCACAAACTGAGTGTACATTCAGCCAATGTGAAGAAAATATTAATGGAAATGAAATGGAAAGAAAAAACGTAAGATTTTAGATCTAAACCATCACTCAGACCCTGTCCACATGGCAGCCATATTTCTATAAAAGTCATTTTTCTCAGCGATTGCGATCTTGAGTGACTGATATGAACACGGCCTCGTATATAGCAATTCCAAGCAACGTTTATTGTAAAAAATACTCTATAACTATTTCCTTTCCGTTTATTTACGAGTTGCAAAGGAAAATTAGTACAGTTTTTGCGACGGAAAGGACACATGTCAAAATGTAACCTTTGCGACTCAAAACACCCTAAAAGGCTTGGTCCCTGGCAGTAGTCTGTGAAATCAAGACTGGCAGCCCACAATGAGTGGATTAACACAACATGCCTTTTGATCCAAACAATATGTAACGGACCAAATCTGACTGAGACAATCATAATCACCAGAAAAGTAAATAAAAAGGGATGAGAAGAGAACAGAGTGAGTGAGGGGGAAGATGTAAAACAAATATGAAAACAGTCATGATGAGTACATACTTCCACTGAATGCTGTTCTTGGACTTCTTTTCAATCAGACCAATTCCTTCAAGCACATTTGTGATGTCATAGATTCTCCGCTTCTGTCTGACAGCAAGTTGATCAGCAGCCTGAAAAATTTTTTAATTGAATCAATTCTATAATTTCTGCTCAGTCTGACAAGTTTTCTTTTCAAACATGAGTATAATATCACCAAAATAATATTACGCCAGGCACACTTTCTTTGCTTTCATAAAAATAAAGAGAAATTTATGGGGGTGATAAACACTTTTTTTTCACCCAAAAAAAGCCACAAAAAATTCCTGATGCACACAGAAAAACCTGTCTTGTTCAGGAATTAATGAGTTGAAAATCCCCCCTGCACCACAAACATTATCATTGCAAACTTCTGGCCTCAGACTCAAGACCACATTCCTCAAGATTAGCAAACCAACCTCAACTCCTGACCCCTTTTTTATCTCTGAGAGGACTTCCCTGACCCACTTTCTGTTTCCCTTCCCTACATCACAAAGTGAGGTCAGAGAGGGCTGCCACTAATCACGTGAGGTTCATTGCACTGGTAGTTTTCATTGTCAGTTACATGATACATTCCTTTAATAAGTTCTTTGGCTTTTTTTTTGTTGAGTTTTACGGCACCTACAACACAATAAATAAGGCCATATAAGTGCCGAAAATTCAGGGTCTTACAAAAGAGTAACAAACACAAAAAAGAAGGAGAGATAAGAAAAGGATGATATGTTTGATAAGAAAGAAGGGGCACATCACACCAGAGCACCCGCCAACCACCAACTCTATAAAAAATATTTCAAGTCAGTGCCCCCTACATGTGTCACTCACAGCTCATTTTCCTCTACTCCCCTTCAGATTTGTGTTTTTAGGTCCCTTTCTTTTGTTTGAACATTCACTGTCTTAGTTACTCAATAGCTGGGATGTCAACAGAGTCCTACTTTACATGTTTGTGTCAGTACACATGAAGTTCTGAAAACAAAATATTCAAAGTAAGACAATTTCAGTGTATTGTTTAAGACAATCATTTTAACAATTTTGCAACACTTTGCCCACTCATTCGCTCATTCTCTTACTGTGCGCTTTGGAGTATTTCAAGTTACAAATATTAATATGTCACTGATAAGAACAATTTTCATTATGAATATCCAGTTTTCTGTACGAAGAAAAGGGTCCACTGTTCTCAAAAGTTTGACATGTGTTCTGCACTGGATGCATACACTGTGGGTTACTTAAAAATTATATTTCTTTGTAAAAATGTCACAAATGAGAGAAGAAATACTTTGTTTTCAGTGAATCTGAAGCCGTTGACTTGAATGACAGCTTTGTATCATATCTCAATGAGACTATGCCATACGTACTATTTACTATGTGGCAATGACAACGAGTACGAATGGCACATCCGACATAGAGATCATGAACATGGACAACTTGAAGGCAAAGAATGTGACTGACATGAAATCCGGGAATCGTGAAAAAATTATATGTGAGGGAGCGTGGTGAAATCAAGCGCTTTGTCAAAATAATGAAAGAGAAGAAACTGGCATTTTTTACGCAAGTTTGGGAACTTTTATCGAATTCTTGTTTTTAGGCTAAACACCTCCCATGTCCATTAAAGAATACATTTCCGTGTGGATTGTACTGAAAAACATCAATTAAAGGCATATATATATACAAAATGTAAATTTTCTGTTTTCACAGAAGCTAAGGAAATGACTAAACTTTTGCGGCCATTTTCTCGCTAATGTTACCTCAGAGACCAGATGACCCCCACCTTCTTTGTTTTTTTGGTCTTAGTTGAGGTTTTACGGTGCTAGCGATTGCATAAGACTATATGAGCGCCAAGGGGTGGATGTCAACAGAGAAGTTCCTACAGGGAAACAGACTTACTCTGCTCACCTCTCTACCTACAACAGCCCAAAGTTTGCTTCGACTATCAAGGCACCCCAGAAACAGCGGGGAACAAGAGTGTGAGAAACATACAAAAGAAGTAGAGGAAATGACGATAGTAAGGATTAGGAAAGAAAAAGTAGCAGTTCCCTGTTGTAGTTCAGGCACAGTTATGACTGAGCATGACATTGTTGGGTCAGCCCATTAACAATTCAACTGTGCATTAGAACGAGAAATGTCCCCCTTTGGGAATGGCCAAAAGACACTTCAGTCAGTGGCACCGCCCCGGGGGGTCCAACTTCTTCAATCGTAAATATCTCAACTTGTATTCAAGATAAATGGATTTTTTTTTTTCATCGAAAGCAAGACACGTCTGTTGTAAACCTCGATAAGCGGTTACAGTAACAATGTTTGCCCCGGACGTGATCGCACCAAGGTGTGAACTCGCTGATGCCTTGCTTTCCCTGATCACCTGAGCCGTCCGCCTGATCTTACACCACACACTAGGTGGGGAGGGCCTACAAACAAGCGCCAGACAGCATTCTATCAAACTGTGAACTCCTGGATGCTTATGTTTTCTCGCCCATCACTCTCCTCTTTCAGTTTTGCGCTCTAACTTCCGAGACAGACTGGTGCCCATACTCGTGGACTGTCCAATCGCCTTTGTGTAAAGTGGTAATCTGTTGGCAATGAACTTGTCTTTCATTTTTTTATTTTTTTTATTTGGTTGGTTTGGTCACACCACAACGATTTATGATGCATCATGACATGGGCGGGGAAGTCCATTAGAAATGGAAAGCAATAAATTTTTGGAAGCCAACTTGGTCCCATTTTTTTAAAGCCCCACCTCCCGCCCTCAAACAAAAAAAAAAAGAAAAACTGACTTCTGAAAAGAACTTTTAGAGCCCAGGAGTCATGTAAGTCCATTTTGTTACTGTGGATTCTTCCCCCTGGCCATTGGCTAAGATCCCGGTTCGCCTTAAATCCCACATTTTCCTTGCTCCCGAGCACTGGAATCTTAGGCGGAGACTACAGTGAGTATTATTTTAGGTCTCTGTTCGGACAGTGAGTAAGTCAATTCATTGATTATAATGCTTCATTAAACGCTAAACTAGATCTAATCTAGGCTAGATCTAGAGATCTCGATCTAAATCTTTCACAATTTGTCAATGTTCAGACCCCCAGGAACAGGAATTAATATGGGCTTCATTTGTTTATTCTCACCCTGGGTAAAGAGGCATAAAACTTATTGGCGAGTTGGTTTTAGTGTTTTTCAAAAAAGCAGTGACTAGTCTACATTCACGACACCGTAAACGTAGTACTAGATCTAGATATAATCTAGTTTGCAGGCTATGATTTGCCAATCATTATTGAATCAAATTTGAGTTCAGCAGACAAACAATAAAAAAGTACCCACATAGCAACATGGACTTAACTCCTGTTCTGCGTCTGAGCCGAGATGCAAGTCTTATAAATATCAACATGATCAACTTCATTTCCATCGCAAATCAACTCTATAACCATGTCTGGGCAGTGGCAGTGGCAGCGTCCGGTAGTCAAGGTCCATAACCATGGCCGGACGGTTTTCACCGTCCGATGCGAAGTTATTATATTGTACTATGGTACGGGTCGATTATAAAAAAGTACGAGCTAACAAGCCTTTAGTTTGACACGACAGTCAAAAATAAATTCTACATCTGGGTAATGCTGTATTGACCAGTTTGACACAAAACAAGCGGTTTTAAAAACGTAATATGTCAGGTCGCATTTCCACAAACACGAGAGAATTACGCGGAAACGTGATTCTAAATTGCATGGTAAAAGAGTTAATAGTTATCTAAATGGCTGTCATTATTCTCACCCGGGGTGAAAATAAAAATATAATTTTATTCTCACCCGGGGTGAGAATAATATCCATTTCATTCTCACCCGGGGTGAAAATAATATTATATATTATATATAATAATAATATAATAAAATGAATATTATTCTTACCCGGTCTGAGAATGCAATGGATTTTTTAGGTCTACATGGGTGTTGAGAACGGATGATAGAAAATAATTTGTGAATTGTAAGAGAGTGACCGTTTGTGACCTGCCCCAGAGCGCTGGTAGATTTTTCTAGGCTCCCGCGGGGATTGTTATAGTTTCATTTTTTTAAATCTTGAGTTGAGAGTGTATGCAAAAATATCTTCACCAAAACCTTAGACAAGTGTAAATATATTCTAAATTCAGAAAGGAATTCACTTGCCAGAGTAGTATGTTTTTAAAAATAATAGCCTTTTAAAAACTGAAAGTTGTTTAATGAAATAATGTTAGATAGTAATAGTTTGTCATTGTAATGTTAGAATTGGCATTTGTTTACAACACAAAAAACATGTTTAATTGTTATCCATAGCAGAACCCGCGATTATTTTTAAGGAACGCAATGCCTTGACCAGGCACATTTTTTTTCTTAATTTTGATTGGTTAAACTATTCAAGAGTAAAATTTTCCATTACAGAACCAATAAATTAATTAATGTAGGAACAAAAGGTGACGTTATTTGGTCAAAAGATAAGGTTTTCCCCCAAATCGACAATAGTCGCCTCCCACGCCCGAGAGTGGTCCGCCTGTTGGCGATTTTAATCGCCGCGCGCTCAGCGGAGTGAGAGAGGGAGGCGAGTTTTGTCGCCTGGAGCGCTCAGTGACAGGGTACCTATGATGCCTGAACAAAAAAACTGGGTGAGAATAGTAGGCTGTCGTTATTCTCACCCGGGGTGAAAATAGTATCAATTTTATTCTCATCCCAGGTGAGAAAAATATCCAGTTTATCTTCACCCCAGGTGAGAATAATCACTGTGTATCTAAATATATTTGATTTTTCTTAATCGAGCTATATTACACTAGATCTAGAACGGGGGAGTTTCAGGGGGGAGCATGCCTCGGACTATTTTAACCAATAATTTGATATTTTACTTATAGTTTAGTTTGAAATTTTCTGGAAAATAATTTTATAATTGTTTTGCGACAGTTTTGATGGCTTTTGTGATCTGCAGCAAACAATACTGTAGTTTGACCACTGAAGCAGAGCATCTATGTGCGGGAGTGAAAGTAAAAATTTACCATAATTTCATTGGAGGAACATCAGGAGCTACCAACTTGCCATGTTTTGAATGAGACGTACGCCTCGGTTACGAACCAACGCAGGTTGTTCTACAAGTAGGCCACAAATGCACACAACAAACTCAAGCAGACTGACACACACACTGCACAGTCATTACACGGACGGGGATGATGCTCATGGCGCGCATGCGCTGAGCTAGGAGTAGTAGGAGGACCGGACTAATACGAGCTAACCGAAACCCTGACAGCGGGGGTCTAAAAGCGGAAGCCAGGCCAGAAAGAAGGGGGAGTCCAAATAATAATCTGATTAATGACACCATTTACTTTCTCATTCCGTTCTCCGCCTCCATACTAGATCTATACTCCACTCCATATGGAATGAGAGCACAAACATAGGCAAAAAATAGTCTATTTTACTTATGAAAGTGGCTATTCTCACCCGCCCGGAAGTTCTCGCAAGATCAACTCCTCCCCTCTTCTCTCTCTCTCTGTCTCTTTCTGAATACTGTCTATCGGTGTGGACGATCAAATTGACCAAAACAAAGTTAAAAAATGATGTTAAAACACAAAAGTAAATTAATTTGGTTGTCTACAAAGATGCTACGGCTATTTAACTTTTCGAATCGAGCCGAACTACGCGGGTCGCCATTTTGTTTTGCCCGGAAATTCTCGCGCTACTCCTCTCTCTTTCTCTCTCTCTCTCCACTGCCCACAGACAAAATTGTACGCTTTTAGTAGGCTACAGTTGTAATGGAACGTTTGTTCACGGCACAGAATTCTACAATTTTTCTGTTATCACAATCACAGTGTAGAATTCTGTGGTTTGGGGTGAACACAAAATTTGGTGAACGCGCAGCGGGTGAGAATAGCCACAAGACTCGCCTGCACTATCTTAACTATCTATTCTCACTTCGGGTGAGAATAGAGGTGGCCTTTACTTATTTCGGCTTTAGATCTAGATTCTCTACATTCTAGAGATCTAGATCTAAAAGTTTGAAACTACACTTTGATGGTTGTGTTCTGCAGGTTCCTACGGTAATTTTAGAAAACAAAAAGGGGGTCTCCTCACTCAACTTTGAAACTCATTGGCACTGGAACTGGGAGAAGACCTCAGCATTTGGCTGGGAACTGGTGCCAGCGCAGTCGTAAAACTTCCCAGTTCTCAATTTCCACAAAAGTTTTCCTAAACACTGGTTTAAAAATAAACCTAAATTCTAGAGCTAGAATAACTACAATTAACAATTATTGTTATTATTTCATAAAAATAAATGAGGTAACTTTACAAAATGTGCTGGCATACTCACAACTTTCAAATCCAGAACTCCATCCTTTGCTTCCTGCAGCAATGTAACAAATTTGGTGGTCAACAGTCCCAAACTTTTCTCGTGTCTACTGCTCGTTGAAGGATCATTCAGATCTGACAAACTTTTAGACACTCTGACAATTTCGAGACTCTGGACTCCAGGCTGCATTTTGTGGTGCTTTATTGCAATGGAAATTATCCACTGCTCTGCCGAACCCACACTACAATCCTAAACCTGACAAAGTTCAGATTCTACACTACTGTATTTTGAAGAATTCCTTCCTTCGTACGCTTTGTGGGTAACAACGAGAACAGCGAGAGTACGCGTTGTAGGAAGTACATCCGGGGTTAGGTTTCCGGTTTGAAGTTCAAAAGTTCAAATAGACCGGGGGGTTAAGGGCTAAGGGTCAAAGACCAAAGTTGGCAGTTGGCAGTTGGTCTGCCACTTTTTTTTTTCAAAACCCGTCTGCAGTTTTTCTTATCAGTGATATCAGCCTCGTTCAGCGTCATTGGTTTTGTGTTTTAAAGAAAAATATTCTGAGGTCGTTTTATTAGTGAAACGTGGAACAATGTGCCAGACCTGACACAATAAAATATCTGAGGTAGAGATAGTCCGAAGGAACAGTGCAGTCTTTCTAGTACTTCATCGAAAGGCAAGCGCTATTTGCAACGCCGCGTTCTGAATAGCTCCCGTGCTATTTGCAACGCCGCGTTCTGAATAGTTCCCGCGCTTTTTGAAACGCCAGTACTAGAATTAGATCTAGATTATTCTAGATGTAGATCTAGTAGCCATCGTTTCTACATGACAATACTGTAGTTCTGCCTGAATTGTGGAAGCTTTCTCAGTTTTTTTTATAAACCTCCTAGGGTTTGACTCCTTTTTTTTATGACGTTGTCTTATTCCGATCAATATTGGGTAGGTCTAGAATATATATCTAAATCTATAGAAATCTAGATCTAGATCTAGATCTAGATTAGATCTAACAATTGTTTCAGATATTGTTTACACAAAAGTAGACGTCTTGTTCATCTCTCATAATCATTTTGAGTTAGAGTTTGAGCAAGTTTAAGTCGAAATGCGCTTGGATAACAATAACAAGACGGTGCAACTCGAACTGTTAAGTTAGGCCTAGAGAACGTATACAAGCTGTCTACTGTCTACGTTCTCTCTAATGTTCAGTGCTTCCAAGCGTGGCATCGAATCCCGGTCGTGGAATGGTTTGTTTGTTTTTCTTTCTCCTGAGCCTAAATTTTTTTTTTTTTAAATTAGACTCACAGACCAAGGAAAGCCACTACTGAACGTTAACCAGGCCTAAAATGCCTAAATTGGTAAAAGGAAAAGTATAGGCTATATTATACTAAGGCCTACTTTGTACAGAGCTCTTCTTGGGGACAAAACCAGAATGTGCATGCTTCATCACTACATAAAAAAAACTACAAAGCAACAAGATATAATTATGGGAACAATTTGTCGGATAGTCGAGAAGAGGACAACAACAACAACAACAACAACAAAGAAAAAAAAGCCCTCCAGGACCGGGATCGAGCCCACGCTAAAAAAAATAATGGTTTGACTTCAAGTAAGCGCAGACGCGCTTCGGCCATCAGAACTTCCGATAAAACGAAGTGCAGATTAAGTTTAATATTTTACACACGGCGACACGGCGTTTTATTTAGCACTGGCGCTAATCGCATCGCGGCTTTTTATTTAGCACTGGCTCTAATCGCAAGGCGGCTTTGCGAATAGGCACTTCCTTTTATCGAAAAGACAGACCGAACGCACAACACATAATATTTTGAAAAGCAAAAGACGGGCGCAGTTACCTAGATCTGGTAATTGCTCTCTCTCTCTCTCTCTCTCTCTCTCTCTCTCTCTCTCTCTCTCTCTCTCTCTCTCTCTCTCTCTCTCTCTCTCTCTCTCTCTCTCTCTCTCTCTCTCTCTCTCTTGTAACAGCGGTAATCTTCGGCACTTATATATTATGACCTTGTTGTGTTGCAAGTGCGTATATATATAGGCCCTATACATTATTTTATACATAAATGAGCCCAGGTCAAAAGGCGACAAAATGTTCCTTTTTTTAAATGGCTTATTCAGTGCAAACATTGCTTCTATTTACAAGAGAAATGTGTGCTCCGCCAGAACTGACAAGTTTTGGGGATAGTTTTAGTCTAACTTTCTCGAGAAAACAAACAAATGCTTGCCTATCTAGACGGTGTCTCGGGTGACAGATGACACAAAAGTTTCCTTCCAAAAGAAAATTTGAGCAAGCACACAGATGTTTTTCTTTCGTGAGATTATTGATTATCTATATAATCAACTAACAAATGCCAAGTTGACTGAAAACTTAACAATTTTATTGGGTTTGGGTGTGCGTGTTCGTGGTCATCAGTCACTTGAGACACCGTAAAGATTTTGTCAATGTTGCTATCTGTTACTATTTTGTCATTCATACTTGATCTGGTTTGTACAAGCTTAGGCAAAGGAGCAGTTTTCCCCTTCCAATCCAACACCGTAACAGACTTAATGATTCTTCACAACGTTCACTGTAAGTGTATCATGTGACACCACTATAATGACAACAAATGTAACCGCACGAAGAACAACAGCCAAAATAACTAACGGCATTCGTCAAAAAGACCATAGATAAGGGGCCAGGGGTGCCCACTACAGCTGGATGGGACCGATCGCCCGACTCAATCGCCTGAAACTGAAAACAAACACGTCTGTTTTTTAGGCGATTGAGTCGGGCGATCGGCCCGATCAACCGATCCCATCCGTAGTGGGCACCCCGTCGGTACACATTGGCACACTGGACAGTTGTTCCTTCCCAAAAAGCCGTACGATCGCAAAAGGGTTGGGGGGGGGAGGGGTATATAAATACTATACTATCAGTTTCAATATCCGTATGTGTATTGGATTTGGAAAATCTTTAACTACGTCACCGTCGACGCAAAGAAAATCATTTTGAAGGTGGCCTACTCCGACCATTTGAGGGGGCTCTCGTGGCCTAGAGGTTAAGGTGTTGGCCTCTCATTCAAAAGGTCCCGGGTTCGAATCCGGGTAACGACCGAAAAATATTCTTCTCTAAAATTGTCTCCTTTCACTTCCTTTCCTGCTCTCTAGCAATGTTCTGTTGTCTGCTTTCATTTCCACTTTCTGCCTCCACCCCCCTCA